CAAGGCAGTTAAGTTCGTGGATAATAATACTTTGCTAAAGAATTTGGAATACATCAGGTTTAAAAATGAGACACAGTTGATTTTAAGAATTATTTTCAAATTCATGTTCGATTTGTAAAGTATTAGGGTAATCCTAATAGTAACATAAAAATGTAACAATCTAGCAACATCAAGCGGTGTTACATTGCTTCAGTAGCATATCTTTATTCAGTTCTGTTCAACCATCCACCTCTGTAACAACTTAACATTTTGTAATAAATAAAATGGTTTGGTCAAATAAAAACAAAAGATCATAACAATTTGGCGACGAGGATTGTGAATTGAAACCGGTGCACTGTAACAAAGTGTAAACAAAAGGAATTTCACAATTTCATCAGAACTTTTAACAAGTTTGCTATCAAGACATCGCCCACAATAAAAGTTGTGGCAGGAAGAATTTTCAAAAAAAAAAAAAAAAAAAAAAAACAACAACAAACAAAAGTTTGAGTCTCACATATACAACAAATGTCTACCCTCAACACACACACACTATAGCAACGTTGGAAATTTCATCATTTTTGCACATACATACAGCGGCAGCGTCTCTAACAAATTTGTAACGGCTAAAACACAGACACTAGAAAAATCTAGACATGTCGGAACAAGCAAATATTGTGCAATTACTAGCAAAACAGCAGGAACAATCTGCGCAGCAACAGGAATTGCCAAATAGACTCACACAAACCATTGCTGGACAACAAGGTGCAAACACAGTTTCATCATCAGTTCCAGGTGGAGAGTCATCATTGTCAAAAGCCCACCTCATGGAATCTCTAGCTAATTCCATGACGGATTTTCACTATGTGCCTGATAGTGGTTTATTATTTGAATTGTGGTATAATAGTTTCAGACATATTTTCGAAAGGGAAGTGCACTAAACGATGCAGACAAAGTAGGACTTTTGTGGAGAAAAATATGAATTGAACTTGGCAACCCTATGTCTGAGTAAACGCGTGGTTTAATCGCAGCTGATCGTGAGCTAAATAATTAACATTCCAGCTATTTTTTTGCTTCTTCTTTGCTTATAATAAGTCAAAAAGTTACATTCGACTTTAAACTAATTTAATTGTTTGTGAACTTTTTGATATCGGTGAAATCTTAATAAACATTATTGCCTTGCTTTGGAGCCATTGTTGAAGATTTCCTTTTGCTGATATTTGTTGAACTTACCGTAATACCATTGATTCTTGTTGTTGCTGCATTTGTGTTGATGCTGTTGCTGCTTGCCGATATGTCTCCAAATAAGTCTAAAAAAAATATTGTTACGTGCGGACTGTGTTCTAAAGGCATTCCTAAAACCTGTTGAAGCATTGAATCATAATTTGCTGCAAATGGATTCATTCAGCATGTGCCAAACTCTCACTTCAAGATCTTTCAACACTGAAGTCAATTGGTGTGAGTTCATTTATTTGTGCGGCATGTGACCAAAACCTTGATAATGTACGGGGAAATAGTGTTGTGGTTGACGACATTCGAGATCTCAGGAGGCAGATCGATAATTTTGTTGGTGTTCATCAAACCGAGTTGAATGGCATTAAAGATGCGATTGACAATATGAAGGTTGAACTGAGTTCGGGTCTGTCCGAAATCAAGTTTGATATTGTCAAATGTAATGACCGCATTAACCATGTCGAAGAGTCAGTGTCGTGCAAGATGAATCTTTTGGAAGCTGATAATAACATTCTTCATAGTCGCTTAAACCGTGCTGACTTCATTATTGGTGGCTTACCAGATGGAATTCATGATCTTCTTATGCCTGTTTTATCAATGCCGATTTCTTTAAAGTCAGTCCACAATAGGAAGCAGATTTTAGTCAAACTAAATAATGTGGTATTCGAGATGACATTATGAAGCAATACTTTAGAACCCGAAATTTGCGTGTATGTGATGTTATAAAGGATGGTCCTGATGTTTGATGGTAGTGATGTTTCTAGTCGTATAAATCTCAACGATCACTATAGGCTGCGGCTTCGCCGAATGAACTTAATTTCAAAATTTAAGATTTTAAATAGAGACAAAGTTTTAGCGGAAATTACTGATCGCAATGGTGTTAGGACGAAAAGAGACATTGACTTTTGATGCTCCTTATTGCAACAATCCGAGGTTTCGTCTATGTAGCAGGATTTTTTACTATTACACTGATTGTATGTATGATATCATTAATATTTTTTTACGATCAGCTATGTTATCTAGTATTTTAAGTTATTTTGTATTAAACATGAAATTGAATATTATATCGCAAATTTATTATATTGTACTCTTTATTTCATCTTTATTATTCTATTTGCTTTGGCTCCCCACCGCATATTTTTTCAAACAATATGATGTCTTCTAATAGTAATTTAGGTCCTATAGTTAGCTGTAACACATATATTAAATCTGTCTTGCAACCCTGCTCTAGTCAAATGAAAATAGGCCATTGGAACTGCAGAAATCTAAAACCTCCTTTAAAAATGAATGAACTTAAATCTATTTTAAAAGATAATGTTTTAGATGTATTAGCCATTTCGGAAACGTGGTTGTCACCAACATATTGGACGTATCTGTAGCTATTCAAGGTTATAGGATACTTCGTAATCACCGGTTAATCCCTAACAGGGGTGGAGGTGTTGCGATCTATATATCGAAAGGCTTCATTTTAAACCTGTATTTTCTGTTTCTGCGCAAAGCTGTGAATCTTTTTTTATTATCTTGGATATTAATGGTCTAAGCATTTTATTTGGTGTCGTTTATGTGCCGACAGGTAACTTGGATGATTTTAAATTTCTTCACCATGGTATTTTTTTTCTCGCTTTTCAAACATTATTGCTGTTGGTGACTTTAATATAAACTTTTTTAACTCCAGCAAATGTGATTTACTTCGTTCGTTTTCTTCTCGCTTTGATTTATCAGTTGTGCATAACTCAAAACCAACGCATTTTGACTTGAGGTATAGATCAACATCGCTCATTGATTGCTTAATATTTGCAGCCAGGGATGGAAAATCAAAAATTTCAAAAGGTACTAAAATGGTACTTTTTTAAATAAAATGGTACTTTTTTTATATTTTTTTTTAGAGTTACAAAAAAACGTTTTATTCAGTAAACAAAACAAACATAACAAATTCATTCACCTATGTATTTAGGTACATATGTATATAGCTTCCAGGAATATAAAATATGAGATCATTTTTTCTTATATAACATTCTGAAGTTTGTAAAGTTATTTTTATGATTAATTCCTTATTTCTTAAGGAAATTGTCTGGAATTTTGTAATCAAAACAGCAAGAATTATTCGATTTAGGAAGATCTTTCGTCCGTAGCTGTAGACGATTTCTTTCTTTAGTCTTAGTGGCATTTTGAATTGAAAATATTCGTTCAACATTCGCTGAAGAATGGGGAATTGATAATATACCAAAGGCAATTCTTGATATATCTGGGAACATCAATTCCCCCAATTCGTTTTTAATAACACTAACATTAAGCCAAAAATCGCTAATGTTACCATCTTTAAATTTTTTAAGTTCAGGATAATAAGATAAAGCTCTAAATTGGGAATTAATGTTTTCAAAATTTTGTTCTTCATTGGGAAACAATTTCATTAAAAGTGGAACTATACTGTTTGTCTTTCCATCTATTATATTTTCAGGTGAAAAACTATTAAACATCATATACAAACTATCGTTATTGAAATCTATTTTCTTTTTCAAAGTGTTGCAAAATTTTATATAAAACTGTTTTACATATTTCTTGAATTCCATTATTGTTGTGTTTTCAACATGTTTACTTTGTATAAATATTTCAACATCAGTTCCACAAAAAATATTATGCAAAGGAATATGATTTTCATTAATATCGATTTCTAAAATATCGTCACTAAGTCCATCTTTCAGAATAAAATTTCTAGCAATTTGCATATATAAAAATTTTATTCTTGGAAGTAAAATATGAATTCTTGCTTCTTCTGATTGCATTTCAAGATTAATATTATTAATTAATTTTAAAACATAAGACAAAAATAAGTAGAACATTTTCATTATGGGATTAGTTAGTTCATCGCTAATGAATTCCAACTTTTCTGTTTGATATTCATTTTCAGAGTTTTTGAGGTTAAAATAGTATGTGAGAGGTTCCCATTGTTCTAAAATGCGGTCTACTACCTCTTTCCTCGAAAGTCATCGTGTTGCAGCGTATCCCAGAATAACATGCATGTCAGTTCCAAAGTGTTCTTGAAACGTTGCAAAGTCATCGCGGCGACTAGGACTGTTGCAAAAATAAAAGTTAATTTCTTTCATCAATCTGTCTACCTTGTTAGGTAGCGCACAAAAAGCCGCACATGACGCCAAATTCAATATATGACAAACGCATCCAGTTACAAAAAGATTTGGAACTGACAATTTTAATATTGCTTGCACACCTTTAAATTTCCCCATCATCACTGAGCAATTATCAGCCGTAAACCCGATCATTTTCTCCAGTGGTATGTTGCATTCATTTAAAACTTCAATTATTTTGTCAGTAATGCCTTTGCCGGTTGCCTCCACAATATGTTCTAGTGATAGGAATCTATCTTGACACTTTCCATCAAAAGTTCTTACAATAATCGCCAAATGTTTGGACACAGTACAGTCAGTGCTCTCGTCGATAACAATTGAGTAATAATTTGCATTGCAAAATTTGCTTATAGCTTTAGTATTTTCTGGTCCTGTAACACTATTAATTACTTGTTGGCCCTTGTGTCTATTTATAAGAAATTTTTTGGTAATTTTGAATCCGGTATGCCATTTTTTATAATTTGGTTTAAGTGGTCTAAGATGGTGAATGGCAAGTTATGTTCGGCCACAAATAAACATACCATGATCTCCAATTTTTTTGCTGCTTCTGTTGAAGGGCAATGTTTTGTGGTATTCTCCACAAATGCATCCAGTTTTGGTGTGCTTTGGGCAACTTTAAAGTTTTTTATATGATATTCACGGGATGCATGGCACTCAATGTGGCTCAAACCCCCAGCAATAGGTATGTCACATACCGTACACTTCTTACCGCATTTTATTTGCTTAAGCCATGGAAATTTTTCATTCCATTCTTCGCGAAAGCCTGCAGCATATTTCTTTTTAGTCCTAAGAAGTAAGTGAATCTTTAGACATGTTGACAAAAAATATTATTTTAAACTCTTACCCACCCATAACTGTTTCTTTTGAACGGTATTAGACCTAAAAATGTATTGACTCTTTAAATGATTGTTTCCACTTTTTGAAAAATTCCGTGTTTGCCTTATCCAAAACATATGATTGTCATAGTTTTAGCTAAAGATGACAAAATTTAGATTTACACAATATCATATATCGATACCTTTATCGATATCACTGATATTCATACATTTGCAATGATAAACGAAGTTAGTGCCAATGGTGTCGTAAGAATGTGTATGAAATACTGAAAATTAGTGGATGAAGCAACGCGATCTTCTTTAAACGTCGATTTACACTAATTGCATTATAATGGAGACACCTTAAGTTTTGCAAACTCACTTAGTGATCTTGCATTCTTTGTATTCCTTAGTAATAAATCTGACTTGAATTGGAAGACTTAGTGCCGGTATCGTAAAAAGCCAAAAGAGTAATGAAAAAGTCACGGAGGAGATATTTTTCTAGAATATTTAGTGGTATTGATCCTTCAGATATGTGGAAACTCTTAAGAAATGTCGGGTGTGTTGGTGGTAATGGTGCTAGATTTGATATTGACGTCGATGTTCTGAATGCTTTCTTTGCTGGTGATTCTCAATTGGAGGAGATGATTAGAGTTGATACCTCCATGGACTACAACGGTCGTTCTTCTTTTGCTCGTGTCAATGAAGTAGATGTATTGTGTGCTTTAAATAAGGTCAAATCAAAAGCTGTTGGGTTGGATTTTATTGCAATAACGTTTATAAAATTAATTTTTCCATATATATCAACAGTTATTATTGATTTGGTTAATTGTGTTTTAATGACTTCAACATTTCCCTAAGATTGGAAAAGAGCGCGAGCCTCATCTATACCAAAAACAAAAAATGTTTGTGAGCCTGATGATTTGCGTGTCATTTCTATTCTTCCAGCTATATCAAAAATAATTGAGCATATTCTTAAGGACCAAATCATTCACCATTGTTCTAATTATATTTGCGACTCTCAGTTTGCTTTTCGAGCAGGACATAGTGCGACACATTTACTTCTCTCTCACTAATAGCATTCGGGAAGATATAAATAATGGCAAACTTAGTGTCCTAATTTCGCTTGATCTGTCAAAAGCTTTTAATTCCATAAACTTCAACCGATTGATTTTTAAACTTCTGAATGAATATAGATTTTCTGATTTGGCATGTAGGCTTATCTTTTCGTATCTGAGTAATAGGACCCAGTCAGTTAGTTATAATAACCTTCAATCGTTCTTCCTCTTCATTCTGGTGTTCCACAGGGTTCCGTTTTTTTTCTAGACTGCCGTACCTTTATGTTTGCTGATGACATATTTTTGCTTTTCAGTGGCAGATCAGCTTTTCCTGAAATATGTCAAAGCAATATAAACAGTTGGCTTCGTAATTAGCCCATCAAAATCCAAAGCAGTTCTTTTTCGGTCTTCTTATCGTGATCATCCAGAGTTTCATATATATGTTCAAAATGAAAGAATATTTTTAGACAGGCATAAAAGTCTTGGTGTGATTGTTGACAGTGAACTTACTTTTGGATGCCATATTGATGCTCTTTGTGGCAAATTTCTTGCCTCTTGGCGTATAATTTATGCTTGCAACTTATATCTACCTGTCTGAATTAAACAAAGACTGCATTGTTAATGACTAATGTGACCATTTACATTTTTCGTCAGAGCGGGACGCCTGCGGAATTTTGTAAAAAAAAAAATTATGCATTTAAAAACAAATTTTATTCAAAAACGGAGAGAATACGTATAAATCTAATTTATGAAATTAATCTTATGTCTAAGTATTTGTTTTATATTTGTCAGCAGCGCAAATTAGTTTTAAAATATCGGGTCTAGTTTTCAAGTAGGAATGGAGCTGATTGCATTGTTTGTTGATGTTAGTCTTAGTAACTAAAATAGCTTTTAAAACTGTCACACTTAACTGCGTTTTTTCACTTGTCCATATTTTATTCATTAGGGAAAAAACTCTTTCGACAGGTGCGTTACTTCCAGGCATACATAAAACATACTCAATAATTGTGCGAAAGTTTGTGCAGTTGAGATTATTAGCACGGAAGTGTTTAAACAGCTCCACCCAACGGTCTTCAGTAGCAACATTCTCATCGTTCCAGCTTTTGATTTTTTCAACTGTGACGTAACTGGAAATAAGCGAAAACTCATCGAACACCTCCGTATCTTGGCTACTGCTAAGAAATCTTTGTGTGATCAGCAAATCCGTCACATTCTGTACGTCTTCCCAAGTAGGGACTTTTCTCAAATTTGACCATTCAAACACTGCAAGTTGTGCATTGAACTGGCACCACTGTTCCAAGTATTCTTTACTTGTCTTATAAAAATCCGCTGCCGCAGTTTTCACATTCTGCTCATCAACAGCAACGTCAGTTTTTTGTAATTTTACCAGTAGATTGCGGACGGAATGAGGAAGGAAAATCGAATTCTCTTTAAGTTCTAAGTTATCTTGGAGACGATTAATTTCATTCGCAGACTCTATTGCGGACACGTTTTGTCCCTCGATTTTCAACACGGCTTGATGAAAAATCGCTGTCTGTGCGTGCAAAAAATATAACCACAATTCAGAGCTGGGATTTTCGAAAAACGTTTTTAAAATAGTAGGGCATTTATCTATGCTCAGAAAATAGGTTTTCAAAGGCTGAAACATTTTTAAAATTCTCTCAAGCGCCGGCATTAAAGCAAGCCACCTTGTTTTACTGTAGCCCAACAGTTTCTGATACTCTGTGTCGGTGGAATCACAGAACTCTTTCAGAACTTCTACCCGAATGCTGTAGATGTAGAAGAATGAATAAATTTTCACAATGATGCATTCGAAGTCAACAGGGAGACAATCTGCGGCTGTTTTGATAGCATTATGAATTATATGGGCTCCACACCCAATCCCAATGAGCTACCTTCCGACGGATAGGTTCAATTTCGCGTAAACATTATTTATCCCTTTTCTATTCTTTCCTCCGAAATTGCAGTTTGTATTGTCTGCACAAAATGCCACAATTTTCTTATTCAAATCATTGCAAGATAATACTTCTTTCAAATAATCCACAATTATATCAGATGATTCGCCTGGCTGCTTTTGAAACTCTAAAATCCTGACTCTCACGCCTTCGTATGGTACAAAATAGCGAACTAAAACAGGGAATAATTTTATTGAGCCACGATTGGAAGCATCGGTTAATAAAGATATGCAGTGGGCTTCGTGAAGGTGTTCTTTCAATTCGTCCATCGCCATAGGTGCCAGCACATTTACAACTATAGCTTGTGATTTTGTACGGGCACATCTAAATTTTTGCTCAAAACATGTTTGTATTAGATTTGAAGCACAGTCATTCGAACGAAAACTGTGGTTTTCTTTCACTGTGTGGTACGCCCACGCACCCTCCGCTGCAGCTATATCCAAGTCTTTGGAAGTCTTTGATCAGAAAGCTTGTGTTTTTCCGATTTTAAATGCTTCTCAATATCACTGGCACCACCATGTCCAACACTAAAATCAGTACGACATTTTTCACACGTAACGTCTGATTCATCACTTCTTTGTTTTATAAATGGATACTTATTTTGCAAAGAAATGTTAAAAGTACACTTGCGTTTAGGCATTATTGTAATGTTACAATCACTAACATTGAAAATAAATTGTTTGACTTTGCTCGCCTTCTCCGACTTCGCGATGAAAAGATACCAGAACAATTTAGAGCGTCTATGCTTAGGGTACTGACAGAGTGACAGAAACTTTTTCTGTTTTTATAAGCATTTTTAATTTGGTGATTTCCCTTGTTATGCTGGAGTTAATGTCAACGCCGTCGACGACGCCGAAAAAGTTGAAACAGATTGAACTTTTTCGGCGTATAATTTCTTACGGCGTTAAGATTAACTGCTCTCATAAAATTTCATACGATTCAATTTCTTTGACATTTGACGCCGTCGACGACGTCGACATTAACTCCAGCATTAGCATTACAAAATCTTTCGAGTTAATTTTAATGTTAATGTTGCTTGAAAAAAACTATGCAAATAAATTATATGTTCACGGGGAAAAAAATAACTCATGTATTTTTCATCAATATCAATATCCAGTATTTTCGAAAGCGGGGCATTTTTGCTCTCGCTGGGGACAGCGGGACAGATAACCTCAAAGCGGGACTGTCCCGCCCAAAGCGGGACGTATGGTCACGTTATTAATGACTCATGTCAACTATGGTCTTAAGGTTATTTCAGGTACTATGGGTATATATTTAAATAAACCTAAGAGACTTGTTATACAATTGTAAGATTTGTATATAATGTTCCTAGAAGGAGACCTATTTCAGACTTTGTTAAGAATTTTTTAGGATGTTCCTTTCATGATTATATTGATTTTCGAAAAATATTTTTTATTTTACAAGGATATCAAATACAGTAAGCCTATTCAATCATATAGATCATTTGACTTTTCCCACTCCACTAGGAATCCTCAATTATTCATTCCTAGAATTTGGAAAAATATTTTTGGCCGATCATTTCGTATTTGTGTTGCGCGTAGTTGAAACACATTGCCCTTGGAACTGCGATTATTTTCGCATTCTAATAATGTGTTCAAATTAAAACTTCTTGAATTTTTCAATACTAGCTGAATTTCATAATATTACTGAGTCATTAATTTGTGTTACTGCTATGTGGGACTTCTACCCTGTTTTTTCTTGTTGTTGTGTTTGGGGGCCAAATTCTAACTCAAGCTCATAATAAATGAGTGGTATGTAATTTTTTCCCTAGTTTTATGAATTTATTGATTATATTTGTAATAATTTTAGTTTTCTCAGAACTTATTATAATGTAATGTTTTTGGCCTTAGAGGCTTTTATTACATGCATGAATTTAAATAAATAAAACAGCATCTTGGTATTGTGGAGATATGCATATTGCAAAGCATTGTCCCTACTCCAAGCACAAGTGTACTAAATGTCACCAGATTGGTCACAAAGATGGTCACAGCATGCACAGGCAGAGCAGACCAAACAACAACAACAAACATCAACAGAGCAAAACCAATCATGACCAAAATTCAAAGAAGAACAGAGTGACTCATCAGAATTTCAACAGTAATAATTCAAAATTCAACACAAAAACGATATAGTCAACAAAGCAAGTACACTTCAAGAAATTAAGAAAATACGTCACAGTGAGTATTAATTCAAAACAAGTGAAATTAAAAGTGGATACAGCCTCCGACATAAGCATAATTTCTGAGTCAATTTGGAAACGCATAGGAAAACCTAAAACAACCCCAACAACAGAGACCGCAAATGCTGAGGAAATAAAATTTCTAGCTAAATGTTCAACAGAAGTCTCAATAGGAGATGAATGTGAAATAGTGGAATGCTATATTTCAGACGTGGATTCACTAAATGTAATGGGCATAGATTGGATTGAAAAATTTAATTTATGGAACATCCCAATTATAGCGTGGTGTCATCAAATAAAGTTCAAAGATGAAATATCAAAAATAAAATCATCATTCAAAGAAGTTTTTGACAACAGTTAAATGGGTTTATGCACCAAAACAAATGTAAACATCAAGGTACTTCCAAATGCAAAAGAAGTTTTTATACCAAAAAAACCAGTTCCATAGGTATAATAACTCCAGTGGATACATCAAAGTGGGCAGCACCTATAGTCGTAAGTAAACACAATGGAAAAATAAGAATTTATGGAGACTATTCAACAGGTCTTAACAACCCTATAGAACCTAATCAATATCCTTTGCCTACACCAGAAGACATTTTCGCAGTATGTCATAACTGCAAAGTTTTTACCCATTTGGGTCTATCATTTGGCTCAAAGTTACAGAAAATATATCCGATGTAAGGTCTTTATTGGGTTCAATTAATAATTATGGAAAATATGTTCCTAATGTGAGAAATCTGAGAAAGCCTCTGGATGACCTTTTAAAGAAAAAAAACACATTTCAAATGGACAACCGAGTGCCAAGCAGAAAAAAATTCAAAACTATTCTTGTCAGTCCATATAGCAGCTGACGCATCAAGTCATGTTATTGGTGCGGTCATATATCATACATTTTCAAATGGAAGTATGAAAGCAATTTATCATATTTCAAGGTCACTGACTCCTGCAGAAAGAAATTAAAGTCAATTATAGTAATTTTGACATCAAGTATACGAACACTCAAGACTTCGGACATGCCGATGTTTTTCAAGGATTATAAAATCGCATGAGAAACCTTCAGATGATTTCATAATAGCATCAATCACTTTTGAGCAAGACATACAAAAAGATTTAAATGAATCAAAATTTCCAGAACAAATGATATGATTGTAGAAGCAACAAAATAAGATAAAATTTTTCAGAAAATATAATTATTTCAAACATAAAGATGAATTATCACAGGTTGACGGATGTCTACTTTTAAATTCCAGAATAATTATTCCACAAAAATTCAGGAAGAAAATTTTAACACAACTTTATCGTGGACAATTTGCAATTGAAAAATACAAAACGCTAGCAAGAAGTTATGTATACTGGCCCAACATAGACTAAGATATTGAAGACTACGTCAAAAGAAGTCAAAATTGTCAATTAGTATGTAAAAATCCAGTCAAAACAGACTTATCATCTTGGCCATTAACAACAAGACCGCCAGAACGAGTTCACATCGACTACGCTGGTCCAATTAAAGGATTTTACTACTTCTTAATAGTGGATGCATACTCAAAGTATCCAGTCATTTATCAAACATCGTCAATCACAGCTACGTCTACAATAAAATTAATGAACGAATACGTTTGACAATTCGGGAACCCGGAGCAGCTCGTGTCTGTTCCAACAATATTGAGCAATGTTGCAAAGAAAGAGCCATTCAACATTCATGCACAGTTCGTTTTCATCCCAGCTTAAACAGACAAGCTGAAAGGTTTGTTGACACTTTCAAAAGAGCTATAAAAAAGATGCAAGGGGAAGGAAAGATACCGGAAATACTTTTCAATAAGTATAATGATCTATTCCAAATGTAAATTCAACAAAGGGTTCATCACCAGCAGAAGCATTTCTAGGACGCAAAATGAGAACCATATTCGACGCTCTTAGAAAGCCTTCAACATCAGCTCTGGAAAGAAACGAGAAAATGTAAAATCAGTATAATGCTAAACACGGAATTAAGCCTCAATCGTTCAAGCCAGGTGATTTAGTTTATGCAGAAGAATTCCGTCACAACAAATCAGAATGGGTTCCTGGAGAAATAATCAACAGAAGAGGTACAGTCACTTACGACACAGCAATATGAGTCCGAAATCGCAAAAAGTTAATGAAGGCACATGCAGATCAACTTCGAACAAGATTAGCAAGTGAGGTTCCTGCATCATCAGACAACATATTAGCTCTTAATATATTACTTCACGACTTCAACGTTCAATTACCTCCTATGGATTTTACAGCATCACAACAATCAAATGAAGATTTCAGTACTCCACCAAGTTCGCCCATCATCAACTATTAACCAAGAAGGATCACACAGAGAAGACAGCCAGTTGAAGTAATATCAAGAAGCCCGGTTCAAACTTAACAGGGGAGATATTAGGGTAACCATAGTAGTAACATAAAAATGTAACAATCTGGCAACATCAAGCGGTGTTGCATTGCCGCAGTAGCATATCTTTATTCAGTTCTTTTCAACCATCCGCCTCTGTAACAACTTAACATTTTGTAATAAATAAAACAGATTGATCAAATAAAAATAAAAGAACATAACATAAAGATTGGCAATAAAGAAAGTGATGAGATGCCTGTAAAACGGTATTCCACAAGGAAGTGTTTTGGACCCACTATTTTTTTTAAATTTTACATCAATGATTTAACAAATGTACTGGGTTTTTGGAAAAATTTGTATGTTTGCAGATGATGTCAGCTTGTTTTATAAATACCTGGATAAAAATGTCCTTTAAACTCTTATTGAATATGACTCAGCATTGCTAGCAGAGTTCGCGAGACTAAACAACCTAGTGTTAAATCCAACTAAATGTAAATTTTTAAGATTTAAACCTCGTCGTGAAGAAAATAGGAGTGTACACATAAATGAAGTTCCAATTACGGAATCAAAGTTTGTAAAATATCTGGGATTAACAATGGAAGATAACTTTTCATTGAACTTCCATACCGGACACTTAAGGTCAAAGGTGTCATCAGCCATAGGTATTCTCAAAAAAATTAAAGGACGTGTGAGCACCGAGACCATTTTGTAAATATATGAAGCATTAATACATTCACACTTGACTTTCCTACTAGGAAGTTAAGCGAGAAAGAATAACAGAACGTTATTTGCAACAAAAAGCTGAATCTATTTTGCCGATACGTGGATCAAATATGCAACATGTTTTGCGGTCAATAAATTATGGTATTGTGGTAATTAAAGTATGGACAGCTTATATCTGGCAAGGTGCTGTGAAGTTACAAAGCATGGTTTTGCTGGACCGACTGAACAGCAAATTGTGATATTCTGCATTTTGGCGATTTAAGCCACATTTTCAAACGGAAGTATTTCAAATTCGGTAGTTACGGTTTGTAATGAGTTCTATGTTAGATCATTGTCTTTATAGGTCAACGCTTTCCTATAGCCCTCGTATAACATACCTCTACATTCTTCAACCGATTTCCCGATTCTTTTGCTTTTAAGGGGCTTCTTTACCTCATGGTATAGGATATTAAAAGTTCCTCCATTTTCCACTTTGTAGTTGACACGAGTATATATTTTTTTAGAAATGCTGTTGTGGGGGATTTACCAGAAAGAGTGGACCGATGTAGAGTGAGGGAATTCTTTAATTATAACAACGTTTATT